GAACTTTATTTATGATGGACTTTAAGCCTTATGCAATGAATATATGCTACCAATCCATCTTATAACAAATCCTTGTGCTTAGTTTCTCAGGGGCTATGGGGAATCATGCTCTCACTATGGTTATCGCATTCTTCATCAATATGGCAGTAATACTTGGTTTAAGCCAGTGGCTCACAACCTAAACTTCCTTTGATGATTTTCTTTTCATGAACCTCAGGAATTGCTGCCATGTCAATAACCAAGAGTGAATAGACCTTTTTTTCTGTTACTGAAGATGATGGAGGATATTAATCCCCAGGTTCTGGAGTCCCCAGGTTGGACACTGTTGCATAAATGATTTTAGAAGAGCTGTGATTCTACAGTTTTGATGATGATTTGTAATTCAGTGTGCAGACCAGAACAGCTTGGGACTCATACATTCTATTTGTAGAATTTCATGCAATATAAAGTCTTTCCATTATTGTTTTCCAAATGGCATCTTTTTTTAAAAAATGTTTATTTATTTTTAAAAGAGGGAGAGAATGTGGGGCGCCTGAGTGGCTCAGGCGATTAAGCATCTGACTCTAGATTTTGGCTCAGGTCATGATCTCACGGTTTGTGGAGTTTGAGCCCTGCATTGAACGCTGTGCTGGCAGTGTGGTGCCTGCTTGGGATTCTCTCTCTCTCTCTCTCTCTCTCTCTCTCTCTCTCTCTCTCCCCCCCTCTCCCTCTCTGTTCCTTCCCAGCTTGCTCACGCTCTCTCTCTCAAAGTAAGGAAATAAACTTAAAAAAAAGCACCTTCTTATTAAAAAAAAAAAAAAAAAAAAAAAAAAAAAAGAGGAGGTAGAAAGAGAGAATATGAGCGGGAGAAAGGCAGAGAGAGAAGGAGACAGAGAATCCCAAGCAGGTTCCGCACTGTTAGCACAGAGCCCTATGTGGGGCTCAAACCCACGAACCATGAGATCATAACCTGAAATGAAATTCAGTCAGACACTCAACCTACTGAGCCAGCGAGGCACCCCCAAAATGGCATCTTCTAAAGAGGAAAAAAAAAAAAACAGTTCTTTAAGTTCTTAAAAAAAAAAAGACACTTGTTGAGTGTATCCAGGTAAATATTTTAGACCTATCAACCGGTACCCAAAAAATTAAGATGATGGGGAGAGGCCCACGATGTTATGAAGTAGAAGATGTGTTCAGAATAAATGTATGAACCAAACGGATAATCCACTTAAGAAGGACTGTCAGGTCATTCTGATTTGAGGGCACTTTGCACAATTTAAGAAGGTGAAATGTCACCATTCAGTGATCTGGGCGTGCCCTTTCAGTCTGAGCTCATCTGCAACAACTCTGAGGAGTTCAACTGGCTGCATCCTTTCTCTATTTGGAGCTATGCTTACTTTCTCCTGGGCTATTCCTATAAGGAAGGGAATAGCTTCTCATATTCTGGAAAAATAACTGGCAGAGTTTTGTTTTCAAAAAAACTGTATTAAACAATCTTTATATAGACACATGGTGACTAGAGCATAATTCTAAATAGCCACATCAAATACAAAGTCTAATAGGGATACATCAATTACTCCTCCACTGAGGATTTTCTATCTGGCCCCACCACCTAGTTTTCCACCTTAAGATACAGGTAGGAAAGTGCTGAAAACATAACCCTGAGGACTCCGGAACTGCAGCACAGTGCAGGAAACACAGTAAGCATGATGGTTGAAGGGGAAAGATTCATTCTCACGGTTACAGAAAGAAACAAACAGCTCCAGAATTTGCTGGGGAGAGAGCGCAGGTCCATGTTGTGACTCAGGACCCTGAGGTAGGAAGTGCAGGAGGAAGAGAAGAGTTAGAAGGACATGAATAGGCTGATAGACACTGCAATGGAGCTGTTGTACCACTGCGTCTTAACAGGCCTGGGTCATGGGCTGTGGCAAACAGAGTTCGTTCACTGATTACCAGCTTTGCTTCCCTTACTAGGAAAGACGTACTTTCGGGGCGCCTGGGTGGCTCAGTCAGTTGAGTGTCCGACTTTGGCTCAGGTCATGATCTCGTGGTTCGTGGGTTCGAATCCTGCGTCGGATTCTGTGCTGACAGTTCGGAGCCTGGAGTCTGCTTCAGATCCTCTGTCTCCCTCTCTCTCTGCCCTTCCCCCACTTGCACTCTGCTCTCTCTCTCTCAAAAATAAACATTAAAAAACAATAAATTAAAAAAAAAAAAAAGACATACTTTCTTTGACTCCATTCCATTGCTCCAGCACCTTCTATCCTTAAAGACCTGGGGGGATTTGTCACCTTCCCAGATGATGTCTCACTTGAAAGTGGCCTCACTTGAAAGCTTATTACCATCTTTAATTATTAGGCGGGGCAGCTGTTAAGATACAAGGCATGTCTTTCTCCCAGGACTCACTCCAGTACAACTTTCCAAAAAAGTTTTATTTAATTCTGTGGAGCACTTGAATTTATGCCCCATTAAAGTTCCCTTTTGAAAAGTACAAGCTGAAGCCACATCTAACAATTATGACGTTCTCTGGATCCCACATACTTCCTAAAAATGGAAAACTCATTTCATGGTCACAGAGCCAATAGAAAAATATGACTTCATTTGAAATGCCTAATTTTTTCAAGTAAATTAAGTGATTTCAGGTGTTAAAAATTTTTTTTAAAAGTATTCTATAAACACTGGACATGCTCTGAAAAGATTCTCTTGTAAGAAATTACATCGAAGACTGGAGACCAAAATCTTTTCTTCTCCTGTGAGGTTGGCTTTTACTTTCAAATTTAACTCTCACATTTTTAGTACCAAGGTCAAGATAGAGCCTCTTAATATTTGTGTTCTTACTCATCTTTCAATTATGCCACAGAACAAACAAGTGGCACTAGGTTCCTATTTCTAGACTTAGTTACATAATGACTTTGGGTGTGACCACCACGGATGAGTCAATCAATCAGTCAACAAACATGAGTCCCCCCCTATGTGCCAAGTAGGACCAAAGTTGCATGGGAACAGCTGGCATGGTCACAGCCCTAATGAAGATCAGGGTTCCAAGTTTCCAGTAACATCAAATAAAGAGCTGAGTTGAGACATACTGAAAACTCCTTACTTTCCAGGAGGAGTGTCTCCTTTACCTGTTTTCTTGGGGGAAGTGGGGAGAGGAACATCCTCGGACATGAATGAAAATGCCAAGGACTCTAACTTCACCAAGACTTCCCCCCAATTTTCCATGGCCCCTACTGGGTACAGGGATCTTTGGGCTCGTGTCTTAAAGTCTGTGGAAGATCCTGCAAGGAGCAAGCGCAAGTCCAGATCGGCGGTCTCTGGGGGGTTATATCCTAGAGCAAATGGCCAGAGGGGGGGATCCTCTCTCAGGATGACGTGTACCAGCATGACGCCTGGTACAAAGTGCCGCCTGATGTTCGGGGCTGTCCATGACCTGCCTCCAGCCTTTTCAGCCATCACTGCCTTTCAGACATCCTAGTCACCCTATTCCACTGGCTCAACAGAACTCCTTGTTTTTCCGCACCTGTTCCAGCTTCCACACCTTTGCTTGTGCTATTCTGCCTGGAATGCCTTTCTTTCTCATTTCTCTGCTCTTCCAATTCATGTCTATTTACCAGCTCATTTAAAATGTCATCATCTCCATGAAGCTTATCTCATGCATCACCCAACCAGAAGTTTCTTTCTCCTCCGGACTGCCACACACATTGTCTGTATATGTCTCTCTTCTATTGTTTATCATATTTTCACTTGTATGACAGTCATCTCATTTCATATGTTAACTTCCCTATAAAACCCAAAGATAGCAGAGTCCAGTCTTATTGATGGTCTTATTTCTCACATCCCACCCAGTGTTTCCAGGGTTTTGAAACCGGGTTCTGCAAAGCTGCAGGGTTCCATAGAGGTGTCTTGAGACCCCCGGGAGGAACAGAGAGAGAACAGGGACACATGGAGACCCCTGCCCCTCAATGTGCTTCAGTCAGATGAGTTCTGATTTTAATTCTTCTATTTATTGTGATTCATGTCAGCCTTTTTTTTTTTTTTTAAGCTTCTGTTAGAGACAAAAAAAGAAAACCACTGCAATAGACAATGTCAAATAAGTGAATAGAACTACACCCTATGTCTCTAATGCTTTCTTGATTCAGAGATAATGAATTCCAATGATTAAAAAGGAGGAGCAGAGGTTCAGAGTGCCTGTCAATCGAAGAATACAGTCACAACAGAGGGCCCTTTCTCCTGTCCCGTATTGACCTTTTTACATTAAGATTTGATAGAAGCCCTTGGAGCCCTGAACGAGTTATGTTTAAGGCATTAAAACAGAACCACTCCAGCTCCTGGTTCTGCTCTGGTGTGTGAGCGTGTGTGCACATACACGGGCACACCTACTGTGCTTTGATCTCAATGTAACTTCAGGGATACAGGAAAGGGTTACATATCATGCCAATGTCTCTTGATCCCTCTCCTCCCACCCCCCAAATAAATCTACTCTTCCTTTAGTCTGTACCACTGTAACTGGCTCTAAATACCCACTCTGTTGCTCAGGCTAAAGCTGCAGACGTTTTCCTTGATTTCTCTTTCCGTCACTACCCACATCCAATTTATCAGTAAGTACACTCGGGTCTACCTCTAAAACATGTTCTGAAGCAGCTCATTTCTCCCTGCTACCAACTGCTGTGGTTCAGGCCTCATCATTTCCTACCTCCATTACTCTAATGTCTCTTCTCTGGTCTCCCGCGGTCTGCCCTCTCCTCCCTATTATCCGCTCTCCAGGCGGCAGCGAAAGTTGTGTTTAAACCCCTCCCGTTACAAACTCTCAAGGTTTCTCATCAAACGTAGAGTACAACTCTGACTCCTAACTGGTAAAAATAATCTGGCAAGTATCTCTATTTCACTCCAAATTAAGCAGATTTGCTTCTCCGGATACTTTCCCATCGGGGAGTTTTCCTTTTCTTTAGGAAAGAAGATGCATTAGTAGATGCCTGAGCAGAGAGACGGAAGGGCGCCATCACTCAAAAACAGAAGGGACTTACGGCTTCAGATTTGGGAGGCACTGGAGGCGGAGGTAGGGCGATCTCTGAAGACTTCACTGCCGCTCCCAGAGCTCCGGGGGCAGGAAGAGGAGAGGCTGCGCACTTGGACCGGACAGAACCTCTGGGCTGATCGCATCTGCTCTCCTCGCTCAGGGAACGAGTGAGGGGCTGCTGGCTGGGCTTGCCGTCCTCCAGCCAGAGCTCTTCGTACGGGAGTTCTGACTTGCCTGCGATGCCTGCTGACTCCTCACTGGCTTCCGGGAAAAGGTAGTCGCTCCCACTGTCACCCAGGTCCTGGTAGGGCAGGATGTCATGAGGAAAGGGGGCCCACTCTCCCCCTAGGTCCCTGCAGCCATGAAGGTTCACCTCGCTGTTGCCATGGAGATTGTTGCCATACACACAGACGGAGAGCCGGTGGAAGGACTGGGTGAGCTCATCGCGAGCGTAGCTAAGCGAATTGGGCACGTGGTTGTGGCCAGAGCACCGGCCCTTCTTGGGGCTCTTGCAGTCCTCATTCCAGTCAGTTTTCACGTCTCGGACAGCCCGGGAATACTCATCGATGTCGAACTGTTCCTGGCAGATACCCAGCCAGTGATGGACCAGGGTTTCGGGCCACACTTCTCCCTTCACCAAGTGTTCTGGGAGGCTAAACTTGGGGACGGTCAAGTGCAAAGGGAAGTGCATGGGGAGGATCTTGTTGTTCCGCAGCACACAGCAAACCACCACTGTCTTGGTCTGGATGTTCACAAACTTGTAGCGATGCCCCTCACGGATGAAGTGGAGGTCGTAGGGGTTCCTGGGGGGAGGGCTGGGCACAGTCACATTCACGGGGAGCCTGGTTTTCTCCACAATGTTGCGGATGGTGTGTTCGCCCTCCTGCATCTGAAGCTCCAGGGGACTCCGGGTGCTAAATCTGCCCTTGCACTGGAATGGAAGGCTAATGCTTTCATTGGTCCGGTGATTCATGCAAATGAGGCAGGGCATTTTGCCTTTGCCCAGCTTACTGATGGAATTGAGTTTCCCAATCTTTTTGAAGATTGTGTTGAGTCGTGACTTTTCTTTGAAAGTCTTTGCATACAAGATTTCTGCCTGCCCCATTAGAGTGAGTTCATCCCCAGTACAGAGGGTGATGTTGTAAACTTCGGTGTCCTCGTTGCACTCACCCGAGGCAACCTACAATAGGATATATCAAATTTTAGGTTAGTTTCCCTTAGTCCATTCCCACAAAGAAGGAGACAACTTGCCATTAAGATACACGAGCACACATACAGAGGAAAACGCTATTTTAACATTCCTTGTATAAAATTTATATGGTTAACAATAACACGAAGATAATCATTTAACCTTTTAAAAACACACTCGGCTCTGAAGAAAAAAGCAATCTGTTCATTAATAAAAATTTGAGAAGCACAGAGAAAAGACACAAAAAGAAAATAACACCCACGGGCCTGATTCAGAGACAGCCATGGTTAATGGTTTGATAAACATCCTTCCAGTTTCTTTGTCTATGTAGAATAGCCTATCGTATGAATAATTATTTGGGGACATTAATCTCATCATTCTGTCTTTCCCAGTTATAAAAAACGCTTCCATGAACACCACTGTAAGAAAATTCCTTATTTTTTAGTATTAAAATTTTATGAAACTTTCTGAAATTGGAATTGGGACAGAAGATGTAAAAATGTTTTATTTCTCCCTGTTCTTGAATTTTATTCTACTCATGTTCATTGGAAGAAATATTAGAAAATACAGATGTAAAAATGAACAAATTCTATAGTTTTACCACTAAAGATAATCTATGTTAACAATTTTATATAAACAAGAGAAAAAAAGAAACGAGACGTGTCGTCTATCTCAGAGATTTGTGAACACACACACACACACACACACACACACACAGTTTTCTTGTTTCGTTTCTCACTATATTCATTTTCTCATGTACTGACCTTCTGTATTTGATTATCTGGGGATGTGCCTTAATTTTTGACTAGTTCTTTATTATTCGATGAGTTTTCCCAATGTTTGGCAATTGTAAATAGTACTGCAACGAATTTTATTTTATTTATTTATTTTTTTTTACAGTTCAACTATTTCCTTAAGATAAAGGCCCAGAAGTTGAATTGCATGGGTAAAGCTATATATGCACTTGAGAGGTCTAATATGTACTTGCTGTTGTGCTTTATCAATGTTATAGTTATTTATACTTCTTCCACTTTACGAAATTACCTGCCTCTCCATACTCAGGATAAAGAAGTTTAACATTTGCCAATATTAAAGGTAAAGCATGCATCCTGCGTTTATTCATTCACATTTTATTTCCATTTGCTTTAGTTGACTATTAGGATGGTGAATATGTTTTGGTATTTTTTATGTGGCTATTTAGGTCTCTTACTTTGTGACTGTCTATTTGTGTCCTTCACCCATTTTGCTAATGGGATGGTCATCTTACCTGTTACTTTTCATGTAATGTCAATGTCCTTTATGCTATATATTTTTCACTTTGTTGCTTGAATTTCAACTTTATAACTTCTTTAAGTGCTAAAGGTTTGTCTTCCTATGTAGCAAACATTTTCAAAATTCTCCTTTGTAATTTCATTCTTGGGCATTACGCTTCTACTAGTTAATACAAATCATTGGTTCTGAGTTAGGCGTGATTTTGTCTCCATTCTCCAGGCCCTGAGGACATCTGACAAAGTTTGGAGACGTTTTTGATTGTCATGGCTGGGAGGGTGCTACTTAACACCTAGCAGGTAGAGGCCAGGTATATTGTTACATGCCACAATCACAGAACAATCCTTCATGGCAAAGAATGATCTAGTCCAGATTTCAGTAGTGCTGAGATTGAGAAAAACTGATACATTTAACCAATATTTTCTTCTAGTATTTTGATGGTGTTTCATTTATTAACTATTTAACTTATTTAATTAAAATTTCTTTGATGGATTATTAAAGGTAGAGATCTCACTTTCATTTTTTAAACAGTTAATGACTGCCCAGTATACTTCCTAAATAACTATTTTCATCACGTATTTGAAGTGCTGCTACTTTGATCATGCACTAAATTTATATAACACATGGGGTGCCTGCCTGGCTCAGTGGGTAGAGCGTGCGACTCTTGATCTCAGGGTTGTGAGCTCAAGCCCCATGCTGGGCATGGAGTCCAAATAAAAAAATCAAAAAAATTATAAAACACATACATTCATTGTAACTTATATTTGTATCTACTTTGGGGCCATTTATCTTAATGACCTTTCTGCCTACTGTCTCATCATAACTAAGTTGTTTCAATTTCTACGTCTTTATCTTACATTTTCAGATCTGATAACAAAAGCCCTCATTTGTGGTTATTCTGACTCAAAACATTTTTGGGTGGCAAGAAACGAGAAGCAAAGTCAAAAGTCAAGTAACAGTCTGAGAGAAAATATCTGCAATATTTCTGCAAGTAAAGAACTAACACCCTTAATACATACGCAACTTAAATTTTGAGAGAGAGAGAGTGTGCACACAAGTGGGGGAGGGTCAGAGAGAGGGAGGGAGAGAGAATCTCAAGCAGGCTCTGCACCATCAGCACAAAGCCCGATGCAGGGCTTGAACCCACGACCCGTGAGATCATGACCTGAGCTGAGGTCAAGAGTTGGATGCCTAATGGACCTAAGCCACTCAGGTGCTCCTACATAAGCAACTTTTAAAAAAATGACCAAAAATCCTCCAGAAAAACTGGCAAAAGTCATAAAAAGCCAATTCACTAAAAAAAAAGTGCACAACAGACTTCAAACCAAGGAAAAGATGTTCAACTTCTTTTATAATTAGAGAAAAGTAAATGAAAATTATACTGAGATACCGCGTCTTATCTCGAACACTGATAACAAAAGCTTGAACTCATACTCAGCTGGGGAGGCTATGAGGGAACAGGTACTCTTGTTCATAGCTGGTGGAAATGCAAAATGATTTCCCCGTGGCGGGGAATTTGACAATATCTAACCAAACTATGCACCCATTTATCCCTCCACTCAGCAATCCTACTTCTAGGAAATTACCCAAAGACATTCCTCCATCAGTATGAAAATACAAATGCACAAAGTTGAGTATTATTTGTATTTGTACAATACCAGAACCAATCTAAATGCCCAAACATAAGAAATTGATAGAATAAACACAAAACACAAAATAAACACAAAATGTATTATGCAAAAAAGAACAAGAATGAGTTCAATGAATTAACATGAAATGACTTCCATGATATATTAAGTGAAAAAAAAAACCCAAAGTGCATAAAAGTTTATATAATATACTACCTTTTCATTTAAAAAGAAGGAAAAAAAGCAGTATATATTTTTCTGCTTATTTTTATATATATAAAAAAAGGAATACAAGAAAAACAAACCAGAAAACAATGAAATTGGTACTTAAGGGAGGTAAGGAGGGAGGGACACCTCTGTGAGTGTGCCTTGCTATCGAGTTTTAATGTTTAGGAGATATGCTAATGTTCCAACATATTCCAAAAATAAAATAAAGTCAACAAAAATTTAAAAGAAACTGAAAGCTGAATGCAAATGGAAACAGATGAATCCAATCTTATTTCAAAGAAAAACTTACCACACAGGGGACAGAGACAGAGAAATCATCCACGTAACTTTAAAATGCTTTGACGTCAACTGTCAGTAGGGAAAAAAAACCCAACCCCTATGGTGTTCTTTTAGGTAGATTTGTTTTGCGTAGGAGAATGGACATAGGGATTCTGAGACCATTTATGTATATTGCAAAAATAAACAAATGAGTAAACATATTCTCTTGAGAGCCAGAATTTTCACTGTGGAGGGAAGACAGAAATGTGGAACTAGGAAAGGTAAGAAAGAACTCCACTGGGTTGACTGAAATTGGGAGGCATTTGTATTAACTCATAATTTTAGGAAACTGTACATGCTCGCACACATCTATGTCTTAGCTTTGTTCTTTCCAAGGGATTAGAAGTAAAGACATCACCGAATATACCTAGTGTCCCAAACCATTCCCTACTAAAAGGAATCTTGATTCCAGGACTAGGGCAGGAAAGGTATAAGATAAGCTTGGGACATTTTGTTGTGCCAGAAAGTGAAGAAGTGCTCCCGACATGATGGGAACATGTCAAAAGGACACAGGAGTCAGCCTGAATTGGCCTCCACTGGCCAAATCTGGGATGATCTGAACATCATAATACATAAAGACTGCAATTAATTATAATCTATTGAACAAAGCAGGAATGCCTAAGTCCACACTGTTATCAAAATGAGGAATGAATGAAAAAAATGAAGGGGGTAAGGTGACAAATGCACAGGAGTGGTGGGATTCAAGATTGGTCTACACAAGAAATATTAAGAATGCTTAATTTATAGGATGAGTTTGATTGAGTAGGTTATGTGAGTGGTCTTAGAGTGTCTTCCCTCAAAATGCATACTGATTGCAAGGGGAGAAAAAATAACTACAGACTGGAGAAACTAAACAACACTCTGACCAGGTGATCAAATTTAATACAACCAGAGAGGGATCCCCATGTCGTGTGCCTCTGGATGTGATTCCTGATTTTAGGACCTCAGTTATAGAACATTCCACCTACAACTGCATTACTAGAATCTATTTACCTAATTACAAAGAAAGAACAGACAAACCCAAATTGAGAAATATTGTATAAAATACCTGGTGTATGTTCCTGAAAAACATCCATGTGATGAAAGACAAGAAAGGTTGAGGAACTGCTCCAGGTTAAAGTGAATTAAAGACAAAATGCAACGTAAATGCAACATGCAATCCTGGAATGGATTCTGAACTAAAGGGAAAAAAATGCTATGAAGTACAACTTGGATGGATTGTAGAGTATCACATCACTTATGTAAAAATATGCTATTTTTGGGGCGCCTGGGTGGCTCAGTCTGTTAAGCGACCGACTTCGGCTCAGGTCATGATCTCGCGATCCGTGAGTTCGAGCCCCGCGTCGGGCTCTGTGCTGACCGCTCAGAGCCTGGAGCCTGTTTCAGATTCTGTGTCTCTCTCTTTCTCTGCCCCTCCCCCGTTCATACTCTGTCTCTCTCTGTCTCAAAAATAAATAAACGTTAAAAAAAATAAAAAAAAATGCTATTTTTACATAAAAAATATCCTTATTCTTAGAAATATACACTGATGTATTAAGGAGGAAAGGG